ACCTTCATTGGGTCATAGACCTCAGGGGGTTAACCCCCCTCGATGACCTATAGGTCCAAGCTCCATTAGGCTCTACCCCCCGGGTTGATTCAACCCTAGCCTTACCCACTCTCGAATCTTTTTCATTTGAGGATCGTATTTGACTATTTTATAGTTCCAACAGGCTTTCCAAGTTTTATACCTTACTCTTCAGTGCTTTGAGGGCTTCTCTGGTCCTCATAGATATCAGGTCCCTTTCCAGCTCGGCCAACATTGAGAACACTGTTAACAGATCCTTAGAGGTGGGGGAATGGTTAGTCAGGTCTAGTGAATATTACCCTAGTCCCTCGGTGGAGCAGGACATTTACTAGGCCAATAACTATATGAAGCAGATCTGCCCAATCTAGAGATCTCAGTACATATTAAGGTGTTGGTGAGAGCAAGGTGATCCTTGAATTCTGGTCTGGCTTCCTATCTCTCACTGACTTAGACGAACTTACTACTACCTCCACCCTCCTGTCCACATGTATGTTGCGTGTTCTGGCCCATTCTAGCTTTTGAGCATTCACGTCTTGCGTGTCTGTGGAGACCCTTACATATGCAATAACTAGCTTAACCTTCGGTTATGTCTGTACTTGTTCCACAATCAACTAACTTGCTTGTCTGTATGTATTTCATCTAATCTCTATAGATACGGTCGTTAAATTAGCTCTAACTTTGGCGTGTGGATATGAAAAGCTACAGGTAATGGAGAGTGTTCTTTCTCCAACGTGCCTTCTTATATAACTAAACTAACTAAACTCGACTCTTAAAATTCCCCCCTCCCCTCTATTTGATTTTATTGGATTCCCTTTGTTTATTCAGATCCCTTTTTATTTGGAGTTCCCCTCTGTTACCCATTTGGGAGGAAGTTTGAGCATGGACGGGTGGCTGAGTCTGGTTAAAGGCGCCCCACTTGAAATGGGGCAATGCTCCTCGCATTCCAGGGTTCAAATCCCTGTCCGTCCGTGGGCTACCGGGAACAGAGACACAGGGGGCCAAAAAAGGGAAGGGAAGACGCCTTAAGAGTCCGTTACTAGTTAAGCAGTAATTACCTGATCAAGCTCTGAGTTATCTTGTCTCTCGCTCTTGGGAGTTAATGCCTCCTCCCAGTAGAGTTATAGCTATAGGTATGGTACGGGCTAGGCGTAGAGGTAGCCCTACTATCTTTAACCAAGACCGAGAGTTATCACTTGGACTAGAGCTTGAGCTGGGAGCTTGAATCGCTATTTAGGAATTATGATTTCAGCAAAGCTTTCTCTCTTTATTTATTGCAAGTAGGAAAAGCAGCTTATACGTTCCGGTCATAGCTTTAAGAGAATTATCTAACTTAGGGAGAGATCCTACCCCGCCTCGAAGACCATCTTTATTCCCTCGATAAACTTGAAAAGAACCATAGAGCCTCCTAAGATAAAGGAGCTTATCCGAACCCTTCTTTCTATGAATCGAATGGCTTGAACAATTCTATGGTAGACAAGGGATTATTTTACCCTCAGAGTTTTCCTTTAGAATAATCTGCAAAGGAAAAGAGTAATCCTGTAAAGTTCATCGGGAAAGTAAGAAAGAAACAACCTTTTTACCGTTATAAGGTGACTTTATGGGATAGATTTGCTAATACCTACCGTCAAGAGGAAGTATGGTTGAAAGTGATAGCGCAGAAAGGAAAGATTCTTAGTCCTACATGAAGAGGA